TGGGCACGGGCTAGAACTGACCTCTCGGGATAGCTACAGCTCTGAGTTTGCTGCAGGGCCCCAAGGAGCTGCAGCGGGGAAGCACTGAAACACGCGTGTAGTAAACATGAAGAATGGAAAGTAACCTCTTAAATCTGTAGTGACTTAAGCCTCCTCTTCCCCCGCAAAGATATTGTGAAGAGTATAAAATGTGGTGAGCGGGGAAGAATTTTTATTGAGGTTTGTTTTTAAATGGCTGGCTTGCAGCAATCTCTGAAAGCCCTTAAGAACAGACAAACCCAAAATAATCCCCTCTTCTCCTTTCCCTTCAGATTAAAAGCAAGTGTCCATAAAATACAAATTGAACGCAGTCCCAAGCCAAGATATGGAGAAGGGCCACACATGAGAATCCTTCCTGTAATATTTTCCACTCTAGCTCTCTGATAGGATCCTGTCTGGGAAAGCAGTGAGGTTGCAGCCTGTCCGGAGGGTCATACTGGGCTGCAGCAGCCCAAGCTCTTACCTAGGAATTCAGTGTACTTTGGGTGGCTGCGGGGTGGGAAATTGCCAGCTTACCTAGAAGTGCTTAGCCTGCTCCCAAGAGCTGATACGTTTCCCTTTTGGCTGTGTTTAGGAGAGAACTTCTCCCCATGTGCTTTGTACCAGGTATCAAGTGCTCTCTTGCTACAAGCTGGATACAGAGCACTTAGCCAGTAGCCAGTTGAGTCCAGGCAGAAGCAGGTGAAACCCTGCTGTGATTGAGGAAAGAAGGGAATAAATAGCCCCATGGTTGTTGAAGCCTTGTGTGATGAGGGATTGCTCACTGCCTCGATGCTAACGGAGGGACCGGCTGGCACTCACGTGGCCAAATCCTCCTGAAAAACAGTTAGTTTCTCTGTGCAGGTGTTCTGGGTGGTTGTGCTTCCTTCATGTGATGCTGCAGAGGAGAGGCCTCATCCACTTGCCCTGGGCAGGGCCACCATACGTAGAAATACTGATTCCCATCAAGAGCAACACTCTGCACTTGGCCACCATGGCTTGAAACACCAGCCTGGAGCTTGATGCTCTTGTCTGCAGTCTCCTTCTCGAAGTGGGTCATGGGAAGAACTGTCTGTGCAAGGAAAGGTTTTCTGGGGGTCCAGCCCTAAAATCGTGTTGTTCTGAAAGCACGGGGAGAGGCAGCACTTAGGAGAGAGCTCTTAGGAGACCAATTTCTACAAATATTCAGCCTGGAAATTCGGTTCTGATTTCAAGAGCAGTAGTTCAAACAATTACAAAGCAGCCCCTTGCACAGTGCCTCTGCGAGGCGAGTGCTGCTGCTGCGCAGAGCGTGGCAGTGCCCTTGTAGGCGCCCCAATCCTTTGACCTCCCGAGCACGTTTTACGGAAGGGGCATGGACCTTCAAGGACATTCATGGTGTGGAGGGAGCAGAGAGCAGCACGTCCTTCCAGCAAGAAGTGACACGTTGGAGACCTTGCTACAAAAGCAGAGCAATCCCGCGCAGCGCAGCTCCCTTCTCCCGCCGCGTCTCCTTGCGGAATGGCTGGGGGGGCTGCCCGCGCAACGCCCGCCCCCCACCTTTTTTTTTCCGGCCCGTGCCCCCCCGGGGCCCCGGGCCCCCCCAGCCGCTAGAGGGGGAGCGGGACCTGCCGCGCAGCCCTCCGGGGTCGCTGCCCGCTCGCCGCCCTGCCCTTCCCGGGGTCTGCGGATACCCCGACTTCGTTTCCCGGGCTGAGCTGAAACACGGCAACCTCTGGGGAAAAATGCCCTGGTATTTAGGCTGCCGCAGCCCTGTTTGAAGCCTGAACAGGCGCAGGCTTTTCCATGCCCTTCCCGGCAGGCTTGCAGCCTTGTGGAGAGGAACGCGTGTCCCACTCTGCACCAAGCAAAATAAACAGCTCTGTCGAGAGCTCCGGGGACGCGAGTTGCACAATGCGCTCCCCTCCGAAGGGCAGATGCTCTTCAGTAACGGGGCAAGGAGCCAGCGAAACACCCAGCTTTGCATCCAAACTAAACACGGAGCTAGGAATAAGCCCTGGGAGGCGATGCAGGGGGAGCGTGCTGTCATTCTGCAGGCAGGTGTTTGACTAGGACCCCGTGCTTCAGAGGAATCAAAGGAACGGAGCAGAGGTTGACTCCTCTTCCTCAGAGGAGCCAGGGTGGTTTCCCTTGGAACGCTCTTTCAGGGTAAGTTTTAAAGCCAGGGGGTTGCTAGCCCTAGAGTGCAGCCTTCTCTCTTCAGCCAGGCTGTTCATACCCAGCCTTCCCCACTGCCCACGCAGTGTTTTTTATTGCACTGGGAAGGTTTAGTCCCCAGCAGCCAAGGTAGGAACATAGATTTTGTCATTCCCCTCTGCTCGTGGGTGGCTGGTTTGCAGGGCACTCACTGCCCCATGTCCTTCAGTGCGTTGCAGGTGCCATGTACATCACTGGCTTCGCCGAGTCCATCGCGGACGTCGTGGGGCTCAGCAACATCTGGGCGGTGAGAGGAATCTCCCTGGCTGTCCTGCTGGGCCTGCTGGGCATCAACCTGGCGGGCGTGAAGTGGATCATCCGCCTCCAGCTCCTGCTGCTCTTTCTGCTTGCTGTCTCTACGCTGGACTTTGTCATCGGGTCCTTTACGCACCTTGATCCAGGTAACACTCAATGCACCTTTCCTGTTGGCACGTGGAGCTGGCTTTGACGGGTGTTAATCCTCTGGGGTTTTCTCCTAGGGTGCTGCTTTGTGAAATTCCACATCTGGACAGGGCTAGAGTTCAAAACTTCCAGATGTGGCTTCTGTACTGAAGTACCAAGTGTGCAAAGGCGAGCCCTAATTTTGCAAAGAGTATTTCCAGAGCATGACTGGAGATACCCCATCAATGTTGGTATTTAACCTCGTCATCTATCTCTACATGCATGTCTTCATAACACTTGTAGTGTGCTTAAAGGTTTCCTGGCCGTGGAGAGCTGCCTGCCTGTGTGGTTGCTATTTGTAGCTTTCTGCTGTTCAGAGCTGTGCTCTGATTGCAGCTGTGGCTCCAGGCTGGGGCAGGCGTCGGGCCAGCGCTCCCCCCTGCAGCCCCACGTTCACCTGGAGACCTTCCCCTCCCTCTGCCCCTTGCCATATCCTCATCCCGGAGAGGGTTTGGCAGGGAAACACGTTGCAAGATGCAGCGGAGGGAGTTCCCAAATGCCACAGCGGCACTTTCAGTAATAACAAAGTGCAATTAGCTAAGTAAACAGAAGGTGTCACCTTTTTCTTGGTTTCCCCTGTGTCCAGAAACACCTTAAAGGGGTTGCAAGAGACTGATAAAGTGGCTTTGAAGGAAAGATCTTCGGTTCTGATTTGTGCAGTACAGTCAAAACTCAGCTGCTGAATCAGGGGACGGGAGGTGAATCACATTACAAGCATTTGTAGCACAGATGGTGTGGCTGTATTTCCACACTACCGTATGCTCCTCACCTCTCGGAACGAGCCTTTCCCAGGTTTGGTGGAAAGGCTGCTCTGGAAAAAAGTCACATACATTTTATACCCGACAGGTAAGAAATACCCCAAATGAAACACAAAATTCTCCGCAGATGCTCGCAAGTGAGAACAAAAGCGAGTACAGTTGTGCTCAGCGTGGAAAATGTGGTTGGCATGTTTTGCAGAGACAGCAACCGACCTGCTCCAAACAGCTGCATTTCATAGGAAGTTGTTTTCTAAAGGAAGCAGCGGGGGGTTGCATTTCAGCATTGCTCAGAGGAGCTCTTTAATGTAGACCTAGAGACCTTTGCGCTGGTGGAGGGAAAATGAATGCTCAGGATGAGAGATGATGGGAGGAAAGTGAACATGGGAGCAGGAGGGGAGAATTAGAGGAATACAAGAGTCAACAGGAACAAGTTGAGGTCAAAATACTCTTTGATTTCCTCCACCGCTGAGCACCGGGTCATTTTCTTCTGACAGAAAATAGAGAAAGTGAAGGAAATGAGATGGTTGAGCATTATCCATCCCGCCGCCTCGCCAGGGCTGGCCAAGGAGAAGAGGGTTTGAGGGCACGGAGAAGCTCCAGGCTGGCTGCAGCAGGGCCCGAGCCCCTCACGCCAGGGCGGCCTTGGCTGCGTGCTTGGATCCGCAGCCCCAGGGCAAAGGTTTGTCAAGTTTCCCTGCTTTTCCAGCAGCCTCTGTGCGAGCGAAGCTGTTTCCTACGCTGGAAACACACACACCGGCGCTGCGTTTCCCGCGGAGGCCTCTGCGTGGTGCGTTGGCACCGAGGGCGAGCGTGCCCCGAGCGTGCCCGAGCGCCCTCCGCGCGCTTCCCGTGCGCTTCCCGCGTGCCCGGCGCGGTTGTGCTCCTGAGCAGGAGCCTTTTGGCCTCCTGCTGCGCAGGGGGCACCCGCTCCCAGCGCCCTTGCACCATCTCTGATGGGCTGATGAGAACTGCAGGATGCTGGGCGCCTGGATCCGGTGTTAGAAAAGATAACTGAGACCCTGCTGCTGGGGGGCCACGGGCAGTCGGTAGGGGAATTAATCACCCTTGGCATCAGGCAAAAAAACCACACGCTCAAGGAGTTCTTTGAGACAGGGTCCTTCCCCTCGCGGAGCTTGTGAGCGGCCTCCTGCATCCTCGCATCTCTGCTGCTCTTGCAGGACGTTATTGCACCGGTGACTCAGGTACCCAGGGCAGACATGAGAGGGCTAATTTTTGAGGATGAGGGCTGTGAGCTGGAAAGACCTCAGTGAACATCTTGCCTTGGCTGCTTGCTTGTCTTGTGGCAGGTTTATGGAGTTTTAAGCTCAGGTCTCAGCTTCTTAACCTGTAAAATGGGCCTAGTGCAATCCTCCTTCCCTTTTCTTATGGCTACTGTGGCAGTATTTTCCCTCATTTATAGTTCCCAAGTGCTGTGCAAATACCAAAGAACTACATACCCGCCAAGTAGCATTTATTTGGATTCAAATAAACTTCAAGAATGCCTGTCCATCTTGAAGGTCTTAAACTAATGTCTTTGTGTGGTTATATTGGGTGGAGTCCCCGTGCTCTTCTGCCCGTTTTGCTAAACTCACACCCAGACACACACACAGTCGGATATTGTCCAAACACTCACTCCCTTCCTGTGGTTTGCCTTTATTTTTAGCCTGAAGTCAGCCCATATTTACACAAAAGGGGGGCTTCTCGGCACGGCTTCCTGCTTCGCTTTTCCTTTCTCTCCCTCTTGCTGGGGCTTCCTCCTCCGAGGGCCCTCCAGGCTTTCTCAGCCGGACCAGGATCTGGGGGACGCTCTCTGCATCCGTCTGCAGAGGCGAAGCAGCTTGGATAGCCTGCCTTGCACCCGGTGAGAGCGATGGGACCTGCAGCCCGAGTGCTTCCTGCATGGCTGGAGCAAGATCGGGACCTTTGCAGACCAGGAACGCTCCGAGCTCGTGGTTGCTCATCCAAGTGCTGCCATCCATGGCAAGACAGAGCAGTTTGGGGTCAGGGAGGAACAGGGAAGCCTAAGAAGTGGTAGAGAGTTATAAGGAGACCTGTGGCGCACACTGGCACAGCCTCGGCGTGGGCACCTCATCCCGAAGCAGAAGGCCAGGCTCCTGGGGAGCTCTCGGATGCGCTTTATGTGCCCCAGGGTTCAGCTGCTGGCTGCAGTTTGGGGATTCGCCCTAAATCTTCTTGTGGACCTGGCTAGTGCTTCCCCTGGTGATGGGTCGTGCATCCCAAGGTGAGGTCTCCTAAGTGAGTTGGTGTGGTCAAAAACGCTGGCACCTTGCAGCCATCTCTAGCCCCTCACCTTAAAATTCAGTCCGTCCTGCAGCCCTGGAGCCGTCCCTGTCCCTGCTGCTGTCAAGCAGGTCCATTCTCGTGATGGGGAGACCTGCTGTCAGGGAGAAGGGAAAGACCCGTGTTATCCCACTGCTATCATGGAGAAGAGAAAGATCAGCATTATCCTCCTGTCTTGGACAGCGCTCTGCTTCTAGACACCTAACCAAGACCTGGCGCTTGCCTGTTACTGAGTAGCAGTTTTCAGGCAAAACGGCACCGCTGTTTTCTTTTGGCCTGTGTACCTTTGCACTGTGGCTCTGCAGGTCTGTGTTTTATTATCAGCCTTGTTTATTTGGAGGGAAGCAGTGAATGTAGGAGGGCGAATGCTATATGTGTGCAGCTCCTCAGAACAATATGTGAAGCTTTTTGGCCTCTTCACATCCAGAGCATGAGAGTCATGGAAAATGAAGATAAGACTGCTGTTAATGCCCACGCTTTTATTTTCCTAGCATATCTCTGCTAATTTTTGTGTAGGGTGACTCCCAAATACTCCCTTCAATTAGGCGCCTGCTTTCCTGTTTGGGCAGTGGCTTCCAGGTACCCTGTTCAAACAGGGCGGCCGTGGGAGTATGCGCTGAACGGGAGGTTATTTGGGGAGAAGGCGGGTGGCAACATGGTCGGGTTTTGTGTTGAGATGAAAGGAATCACCCTATAAGCAAAAGTGACCCGACAGCAGCCTCTTAAATGCCTGAAATGCCCTTGGAGATAAATAATGATGATGTAGCCGGTGCTTGGTTGTCATTACTGCTGCTAATGGACTGTGTGAGGGGAGAGCAGCTTCACGTGGGGCTGCTTCAGCAGAGAGGCAACCTGCCACTGCTCAAATGATTGCCTGTATAATGCTCTGCGTTGTAAAGAGCCTTAACGTGGGGTCTCGAGGGCTCGGGTGCATTGACTTTATTAAGTAAAATTGCACGTGTATATATTTCATATGAAAATGAGGGCAGCATAATTGGAGGCTTTTGCTTGGCCCAGGTCGTTTAATTTTATTTTTGGGCAGGAGGGGTGTGCCCCGGTTTTACAGGAGAGGGTACAGGAAGGATGTGTGTGTCAGAAGATGATCTGCAGCTAATCCCGCCGGCTTTCTCCAGCCTGATTGCCGGCTTCCTGGCTTGAAGCACATCTGGAAATTGGCACCAGATCCCGAGCAGAAAGCACCAAGCGCACGGCGGCAGAAAATCCCACTTTGCTACTGAACAAGGTAGACAACGGTGCTGAATAAAAGCAGGAGGCTGCTAATGCGCCCTTTATTTATTAAAAAGCACGCGATTGGTTTCCCCAGGTTTTTCCAATTATAGCGCATTGAATGGAGGTGACATCAGTTTTGAGCTCAGGCCAGCCTATTCAACAGTCTGGCGAAGAAATTTATTAACTGGTTACCTGCCAATTGTCTGGGTTAGGGACTGTGGTACAGATGTGTTTTGAAAAGTGATAACATTGTTAGGGGCCTTGTTTGGATACAGACAGGAAAGCTACACCGGTCTCTCCAGTCTCTCTGAAGTAGGTATTTAAAGCAGTTTGTTTAAAAAAGAAAGAAAAAGGGAAAAAAAAAGAGATTGGCCCGTAACTTTTTGTTGCCTATTCCTTTATGCTCTGACCCTCCCGTTCCAGGTAGGTTCCTCCCTCCTCATCCTGTGGACCCAGCGGCAGGACTTTGTTACGCAGCAGCAGTGCGAAGCGGCCGTCTCGCCTGCCGGCTGCCGCACCGGCTTTCCCTGCTTATAGTTTTATTGCTTTATTGGCTTCTTTTAATGAGGCCAGGACCGACCTGGGAGAATGTCTCCATGCCCTCCTGACCTGCTGGCACTGAGGGTTTTCTGTACCAAGCCTCAACCCTTGCAGCCTCTTCCACAAAGCGG